AAAAAAAAAAAAAAAAAAAAAAAAAAAAAAAAAAAAAGAAAGTACTTTTGTAATATGTAATATTTAAAAATTGCAACTCTGGGAGGTACTTATTGTTACGTGCATTTTAAAATGAGGAAATGAGTGAGAGACTTACTTGTTAGAAGCTACACTGAATAACAGCTGGGCCAGAACTAAGGATTTCTGATTCAAGTCTGGTGCTGTTGGCTCAAAATGTGCTCCCCCTCTCTTAAAAGTCATGCTAAAACCTTACCTTTTAAAATTTCGGTAATCACCCAAAGGTTCGTAGAATTAAATATAAATGAGGAAGACAAATACTGAGTTTTAACTAGGATCAAACAGAACTTAGTAGGGTAAAAGAGAATAACTAAGCACAAAATTCTAATTGCCATTTTACCCAAGGCTAGGTCTGGAGGATTACAGTGGGGATAAATTCAGAAAATCAGAGATGACAAAATAGAATAAATATGCCTTAGGAACTGAAGTTCACATTAGCTGTTCCACTCTTGGATCCATGTCTCATAAATTAAGTAAAGTTAACTAAGAACAAAAAGATCATTCAGCTCCATTCTTTTCCATTCAGTTTACGAAAATTTCATAACTTAATCATCTCTGAGATAGGATAATTCCAAATATGAGTCAAAAGAATCAGGTAATAAGTACAGCAGCAAATGGCACTCGATATACACTGTATTAAATAATCATATTACATAATGGCTAAAGAAACAAGATTTTTAAAAGTTTTTTTTTTTTGTTGTTTTGTTTTTAAAACCCAGGAAATTACATACATAAATCCTTGAATTACATGTAGCATACCTGGGGTGCCTAACAAATTGTTATCTCTCATAAGTCTATAATCTTCTTCACTCAGGTTATTTACAAACTGATAGAAAGCTTCTTCCCGATCCAATCGGTCCATCTGACTTCTGCGCTGTGCTGCAGACTGATCACCTTTATCATTAGAATCTGAGTTTTCCATCTTGATGAACAAGTGGAAAGTTACCTAAAAGAAGAAAGGAGACCAATCTTGAAAACAAAAGTCACTACATGTTCTACACAAGTTTTAATTATGTGAAAATCCAGAATGCAGGTTGAGATGTTGATTTTAAGACCTCACATGAATGAAATTTTGAAACAGAAAAACTCCTAAAAAGCACTGTTATATTAGGAAAAGTCTATTTCAGGGGCTGACAAACTATAGCCCTGTTGTCTGCTTTTATTCTTTTTGCAATTTAATAATGGTTTTTACACTTTTAAAGGGTTAAAGAGAATATTTTGTTGTGTGAAATCATATGAAATTCACATTTCAGTGCTGACAAAGTTTTATTAAGACACAGCCATACACATTCATTTACACATCATCTATGACTGCTTTCATGCTGTAATGGCAGAGTTGAGCAGTTGTGATAGACTGTATGTGGCACTCTCACTGCTTTGCACTGCTTCTCTACATACTGTAAACTGCAGTGATGCAGTTATAACTCAACAATATTTCAAGTGCCATACTGTGACATTCCCTTAAATTACTGGTAGACACTCATCATGTCAAACAAAGAGAAAAGCAGACTTTGAATGTCACACTTAAAGGCACAGCAGAGGATAGATTTTTGTTATCAGTCAGATTTGATGGCAAAGATTGCATTTATTATGCAAAGACACTATAACTGTGTATACACTGACATTATTAGACTAGACACTAGTCACAATACTCCCAATTCATAAGAAAGCTAGTCTGAAAAACTAGAAAATTTAAAATAAAATACATCACAAAATATTTCTTCACACACAAAAAATGAAAATGAGGCTTCAACCAAAGTTTCCAAGTGGTTCACTTGTTGGCTAAGCAAGGAAAGCCATTTCTCAATTGTGAGTTAGTAAATTGTGTTTGAGTACAGAAGCTGAAGAAATGTGTAGAGAGAAAATAAACTTGTTTAAGAACATTGGCCGTTTGGTGACTACAGTTGTAGGAAAAGTTGAGGATACTGGAAGCAATGTCACTAATCGATTGAAAAACATGGCAAATAATGGAGTGGTTTTCCCCTTGGCTCCGGATGAGTCCACAAATGTAAATGACACTATTCAGTTGTTGTTTATTCAAAGAGCCAAGTGTTGATTATTCAAGGAGCTTGAACTAACTGCAGGCATAGCCTCTACAGACAGTCTGCATGAAACAACCACAGATGAGAATATTTTCAAAGAATCTAAGATATTACTAATTCAGCACAACCCAAAGCAGAATCTGCTAAGATGTGTCACAACGAAATGGTAAAAATGTGTGGAGTAGAAAAAGTCCTAAATAGACAAATTTATAAAGCTTATGAAAATGAGGTATTTAAAGTCTATGGTTATTCATTATATTATTCATCAGCAAGTACTTTGCAGAAAATATTTGAATCTATCATATTATTGAACCAGAATGTCAATGGTAAATGTCACTCATGGACTTAACCATCATTAGTTCTATGAATTTTTGTTACAAATCCTGAATTTCTACCACACAGCATTTTGATGGCTTAACATTGGTACGGTTTTATTATGATCTGTTGTACTCAAGGCAAAGATGAAAGTTTTTTTCTGAGTGAGAAAAACTACCCTCAATCACTATTGTCAAACAATTAATGGCTTGGGAAATTAGCTTTTGCTGCAGACTTGATAAAGTTTCTCTTAACGAATCTAACCTAAAATAAGGCACATGATGCTTATATGTAAAACTTAAACTGTGGTAAAGTCATTTCAACAATTAACACTAGTATTACAAGTAATGTCAAGCTGCTTTATGCACTTCTTGTGCTATCAAAGGAATGAGAGCTCCATTCCCACACAAATTTGCAGCAGATATATTTTCTGAGCTCAAACTATAATTCCAGAATCATTTTTTGGGACCCCAATGTAAAAGGCAAAGGAAATTTCCTAATTTCAAAATCCATTTAATTGTGCAACTGAGGAGCTTCCATGTAATGCTCAAATGGAAGTGATAACTCCACAGTATAATAATATGCTAAAAGGTAAATAGTAAGAGAAGAATCTAACAAAATTCTACAAATACCCTCTAAGGAATGAACATGCTTCATTAAAATCACATGCTTGGGGATTGCTTAAGACAGCAGTATCGATATGCATGAAAAGACATTTTCAAAGTGGAAATATATAAAATTTCCCTACAAACCCGCAACAACAGATGAACATTTGCAAATGATTGGTAAGGATCACTAACTTTGAAACCCGATTAAGCAAAATGTTACCCACCCCCCCAAAAGAATGTCATTCTTCTCATTAGTAAACCTATGCTGCAAAACATTGTACTCGATTATTATCATTACATTTTGAGGTTTATCAAAAAAACCTTATCGAAATTTGGCTTCTCTCTTTTTATATAAGTAACTACATAGTATGCTCAGTTTTGCTTTTTGATCTGCAAAGCCTAAAATATTTACTATCTGGCCTTTTACAGAAAAAGTATACCAACCCCTGCTCTAGGTAATACATAATCTTAGCCAAAAATTCTTATTTACCATTCAGTATTTGTATAAACTTAAGGAATTTAAATATTGGCAGATTTCCACACACTCTCAACCACACTAATGAAGAACAATGGTAGTAAACAAACATAAATAAATATCCAAACAAAAATTTTAATTCTCTAATTCTTTTCCTTCCAACCCCAGATTTACTTTAAGTTCACACTGACAAAACAAAATTTAATTCCATGAATGTATGTGCCACGGTATGACTATGTCTGTATCCCCCCAAAAAGTGACATGTTGAAATACTAACCCCTAAAATGATGGTATTAGGAGTTGGGGCCTTTGGAAAGCGATTAGGTCATGAGAGTGGAGTTCTCATGAATGGGATTAGTTCTCTTATAAAACAGTCTCCAGAGAGCTCATTTGCCCCTTCTGCCATGTGAGGTTGCAGTGAGAAGACAGCTATCTATGAGGAATCAGACCCTCAAAAGACACCATAACTGCTGGCACCTACATCTTGAGTTTCCCAATTTCCAGAACTGTGAAAAATAAATTTTATTTTATACGTCACTCAGTTTATGATATTCCATTATAGCTGCCCAAACAGACTAGGACAACATGAAAATTTGATTTGTGGAAAAAAGGTAGTTTATATTGATACTAAGATTTAACCCCACACACAACATATGAAATACCAGAATGTTCACAATCAATCCTAAAGAGAAAAATAAAAACAAACCCTATTCCAGATATAAAAACACAAAGAAGCCTACCTTGCAAACTCTGCCTGCTTGCTGAGCCTAAATAAATTTTAATCTATACAAGAGCACATCTAGATCTCCATTCTGTTTTCCTTAAATTATTGTTCTTAGAACTATCCTATCATTGTTTAAACAAATATGATGAGCATGTCAAGGAAGGGGAGAGAGGAAGATAATATTTTCAGAAAGAGTTTTCTAATCTCATATGATTAAGATTCCTTAATCTTGGTAAGACTATAGAAGTTTCTGACAAATGCTGTTTTTATATATAATAACTTGAAACTATGAGAAGACTAGAAATCAGCAGCTTAAACACCCATAAAAGTTATATGAGCCAGGCCCCTTAAAAACAACAACAACAACAAAAGGAAGCCAAATTTTTCCACACACATCTCAAGTAATATAATTTGGTATTAGAAATTGTAAAAGCTTTCTTTCTCCAGGGAGGAAGGAAAAAAAAAAAAAAAGAAAGAAAGAAAGAAAAAGAAATGGTAAAAGCAGCTGATTTTAAAAAATACAGAAAAGCACAAAGGAAAAAGAAACTTCAGCCATAATCCCTCAAACCAAGGAAAACCACCAGTAACATCTGACTTATGTTTTTAAAGTAGTTAATAAAGCTTGAGCATCCCTAATCCGAAAATCTGAAATGCTTCCAAAATCTGAAACTTTTTGAGTACCAACATGATATTCAAAGGAAATCTCATTGGAACATTTCAGATTTTCAGATTAGGGATGCTCAATAGGTATGTATTCTGAAAATATTCAAAAATCTGAGAAAATCCAAAACACTTCTGGTCCCGAGCATTTCGAGGAAAGAATACTCAACCTGTACTTTGAACAATAACATGAATGTTAGGACAAAATCCACTTCTGGAAGATCAGTAAATAGTTCTGAAAAAACTGTAGGGTTAAAAAGCTTTAAAAATATAAAGCTTCCAAAGAAGGCAAAAATATCTGATAAGTTCTGAGATTTGAAGGACATGAACCAAAAGATAATAGAAAATTGCAAAAATATGCTTAAGATTTAAAAAACAGAATCTAAAACAATAAAGTGGTCTTGTACCAAGTATATGGGGGGGTGGGGTTTGGTACACTAACAGAAGACAGAAGGTAGTCACTCAACGTCTATTTTGTTTCTATTTATTCAACGAGAACCACCTTCCAACTGGCAAGAGTGGAAAAAACAAACTTTGCAGAGAGAATCAAAAGCCAAGACTGCACAACTTCTAATGATAATCTTTGAGATATCACAGAGAACAGGAGAGATGCTAATACACTAGATTTAAAGAATGATCCGATCTTTTTAAAAAATGAGGTCTACAAACTATACAACAGTAAAATCTGACAATAAACCTAAGGGAAAATTCTACAATAGACTGTCAGATATACTGCAAACATGTAGAAGAAAATAAGATTGCCAGAAGTAGGGCTCACTGCCAAAGTAATCTTACTTGCTTTACATAGGGATGGTTCTCAACCTTGGCTTGTACATTAGAATCGCCTGGGGAGCCTTCTCTGGGGTTGACCAGACATAGATATTTTAAAAATTCCACAGGTAATTCTACTGTGTAGTCAGTGTTGAGAACTTCTTTTTTTTTTTTTTTTTTTTTTTTTTTTTTTCATGCCCGGCAACGGATCG